GCTTGCTGCTGTACGCTGGCGTACGGCAGCAAGCACTTTTGCTCGCGCTAAAACGCTGACGCAAAGTATAAACGCGGCATTAGTTCGTTACATATAACATCTGATTAGGTAAACGAATTTCTTCGTTTCGCGAACGCTTCGGTTCCGGCTGGCAGTGCTCTATTCAAAGCTGTGTAGTGCAGTATAGAGAGTTATTTCATGCTTGATGTTATCATGATTAATCCTGTGACTGTGAGACGGTTCTTTTGCCTGTCAAGTGTCGGTATTGCTGCATAGTGCTTTCTCAGTTCAATAGTGCTACGCTGTATTGGCTATAACAACCGAAACCTAGCTTTGCAACCGAGAGCTGAAGAACTGAAAGCGACAGCATTAACTAAGCTAATCTCTCGGCAGTGAGTGCAGAGGAGCTGAGAAAGTAAAAAGGGACCTGTTAAGGCGTCTCCTTCTTGCTAACGGTGTGATTCAGCTCTGTCTAGAATACATCGGAGAAGCGGAAGGAGGGAATGAATAGAGAATGAAAATGCTGAAGAAGAGGTCACCGGGAAAGATACTGCAGACAACTTGATATATAAATGTGAAAGAAAAATTACATTGTTTTCGTCACGGTACCGCCGACAAAATTCACTAAAATCATCCACGATATCGTTCGAAAGGGATTCTTCAAGTGTCTAGTTGTGTGGATCATAGAGAGGAAATGTGAAGTGTGAGCATATGTGATGAGGAAGGTGTTGTGTGCATATGTGTTGTGTTCAGTAAATTAAGTATTAGCAGTGAAAGTTTTCGGTCAAGGCGGGAAGCTCACATCACAAGGAAATCGTGGTCCTTTCGACCAACCAGGAGATAATGGCCTGAACATTGTTGTTAATTTGTCGTTTTGCCCCATAATGATTTCGCGTAAGTGAGATGTAGATGCCGTATGAGGCAAAGAAAGAGTATTGACGGTAATACCCATCTCCTATCGTCTCTCACCTTCCTCGCTTCCAGGTTTATCTAGAACAGAGTTAAGAACTGAAATAAGTAGCTCCTGGCTAACCGTACTCACAACTTAGCCAAAGTCAAGCAGAGCTATGCCACGCCGCGCCCGCCCACAGCGGGCAGGGCTTGGCATAGTTCTACTGGACTTTGGCTATGTTGTGTATGTTCCATACATCTCATGCCCTTCCCATCCTTTCTTGAACCGGCCCCTCAAACTGGCCCTTCAGGTGATGCCGAATTTCCAGACAGATAGACGATGCCGTTCATATATAGTAGGACCAGGAAATAAGTGGCGCCTGGCCAATCGCACGCTCCGCCCACGATGGCTTACCAGGGAAGTCCGCCAGGTTACCATGGGATTTTGAATGAAGACCTGGATAGATCGATAGAGTATATAAGGTTATTCATAAACATAGATAGACAACACAACTGCAACCTGCATTTTACAAGCAACTTATGAGCAGGTAAGTTTGTAGTGGTGCAGTAGGGTGGAGGCTCGAGGAGTCCATACGTGCGAAATACGGAGTCGTAGTGGTTCGTGGTAAGCTCCGGAACGTTCGAACGACTCGTATTCGATGAATGCCGATCCTCGCTTATGTATTAACACTCACCACCAAGCCTCCACCCTACTGCACCGTTACAAACTACCTACTCATAAGTTGCTTGTGAAATGCAGGTTGCAGTTTTGCTATCTATATTTGTAAATAACTTATAGACTCCATAGATCTACCCAGGTCTCTACTCAAAGTTCATGGTAATTTGGCTGACTTCCCTGCTTATGGTTAGCTCAGTCATGTTTGCTTCGTAACGCCTTGCCTTACCCATCCCACTCTTGCCTGACCCATCATACTGGCCCTGGTCAGGTAATAACGACTTTCGGGACAGGCAGGCAGACAGGGAGACGAGGCCTTACATTTTTGCTTTTTTTTTTCTGGATTTCTTGGAGTACTTCTGGTTGTTTAAATTTATTTACACTATTTCAGGGGGTTCAACTGCCAAAAATAGAAGCAAAGCGAGTCGTTGTCGACTTTTCGTCACCGAACATAGCCAAGGAAATGCATGTCGGTCATCTCCGGTCAACAATCATTGGAGATTCCATTTGTCGTCTTTTCGAACATGTCGGCTTCGATGTAAGTCCCAAGTCTACATACTAGTAGTGACAAAAACGAGTTTTGCATGCGCTTTTTTGTGACGAACCACTGTCTAGGTTCTACGAGTTAATCACATTGGCGATTGGGGAACGCAATTTGGGATGCTCATCGCGTACCTCTATGATAAGTATCCTGATTTTATGAATCAACCACCACCTATTAGCGATCTCCAAGCTTTCTACAAGGTGAAATCGTCACGTTGTTTCGATTTCCAGGAGCTTGCTCTAATTCATTTTGTGCAGGAGTCAAGAAGCGCTTTGATGATGGATCCACGAATTCAAGAAAACGCGCATCATACTGGCGTTGTAAAGCTGCAGAAGTTTATCGATTCGCGAAATCGTTGAATCTTGGACTCATATTGTAACATTTCGAAGAAATGTGAGAACGACTAATTTTGTTTTGTTGTGTAATCGCATTGTTAGATCTGCCCGGTTGGTTTTTACAGACAACCAGATCGTCTACGATCGACTTGACATTGTACTGGAAGATGTGGGAGAGTCGTTCTATCAAAAAATGATGATTACTTTGGTGGACGACTTGAAGAAAACTAGTGAGTTTTTGATTAGTAGGCTAAATGCAGTGTTGGACAAACAGTGTTCCTGTTGTAGAATTGGATCGTTTTCGAGAGGAAGAAGGGCGTCTCCTATATTTCCCGGAGAAATGCGAAGTGCCGCTGACCATTGTGAAGAGCGATGGAGGTCTGAGGCTTTTATCACGTATTTTCCATGATTGAATTTTGTGTGCACTACTCGGTAGCCCTCTGTGAATTGAAGCTTTTGGGACATCTGTTCCACGAGTGTCGCCAAAACCTTTCCTTTTGCCTGTCATTCTCTCTAAGTTGGCGCAAAACCTCTATGACTCACGCGTATCCTAAGCAACCTGTGAAAGTAGCCGTTAAAGTGTCTTTAGTGCTTGAGGGTGTTTATACAAGTATCTGTGGTGTAAGTGGTAAGTTCGCTGCTGGTGATGATATCTCTGTAAACAGCAACCCATTCATTTTGAAACTAATCGGCTTGGGAGTAGTATACGAAGTCCCTGCAGATAATAAGAATTAATTGTATTGCAACCCGTAGAATGTGCTTGAATCATATCTGTCGTAATCGGTGGAGCAAAAGCGTACAGGTCCTTTTCCAACATTCCTCTCCCTCCCTATCAGCTTTTACCATTTTCTTCAACCATTGAGGTCTTGTCCACCCCCCCCCCTAACCCGCCATATAACTTGTGAGAACCAACTTCCCATTATGGCTTATGGCATAAAATGCCATTATGTTGAGAGGATGAGAGTGGTCCTGGTAGCGTATTGGATAACGCAGTGCCCGGGAAAGGAAGATGTGGGTTCGATTCCCGTCTGGCATCAGACTTTTGGCCATACATCAGCATTCTTGTGACAACTCTCCAGTGTTCCTGCAACGAGCCCTATGAATTTCGTCACAACATAT